CCCTCCCGCGCTAGCCTAAGGGCCACCTTAGCAAAGCGCATCCCAGGCTGCATAGCCGCACTACCCTACCCAACCATACCACACATAAACATGACACTACCCCCGGGGTTTACACAGACGAGCCGGCGAAGCAAGAAGAGCGCCAGAAGAAAGGGCCCTAGCCGGCGGGGCCCAGCCAGGACAAAAGGAGGTCCCACAAAGCGCCTACACCGGCCGCATTTGCGGTCGGGGTAGACGACGGATGGGGCCCACCTACGAAGGCTGTCCAGGCCTACACGAGATGAGGCAGGATAAAGAGGGATAATCCCCCTCGATCCCAAATCATTGAGGCCAATTTCTAGCCATGGAATAATGGCGCGGCGAGTTCGTGTTTATCTGATCCTGATTCAGTGATCATGATTCAAAACTGAGAGCGAAAGGAAACTGCTATTATGGATCCAAGGTGAATCCGGCTTACGATTGTTTGACGTTTGTGATGTGATGTTTACATGAATTGTTTATGAATTTGTGTTTATTGTTGTCGTTTTTTATTTTTATTTTTTATTAAAATGTCAGAAGCATTTTGACGGCAACTGTGTTTTGCAGGTTACGTGATGATAACCTTCTCAATTACAATCATGTCACTCCTTGCAATTTAACCCAATAAATGCAAAGGTCACAACTATACAAAGATAAAATTGATAACATAAATGTTATTACTAATTATTTAAGTCACATAGACAACATAAAATTGGTAGAGAGACGACAGAGTAATTAAACTACTTACAACACTTTGACATTAAAGAAATGATGATTTTAAGTATGCAGGAATATGTTGGCATTTAGTTGTATATGTATATTACACTATTTATGAATTGCTTTTTAAGAATATAAATATTCCACTCGTTAACCATAAAACTGACAAGTCTACTTGGTAAATTAAAATTTACATATCGGGGTTTATTAATTATGATATATTGAATATGATTGCAGAAGAAGAAAACAGTTTTAGCCATGACTTACCAGTATTAGAAATAAATGCAAAAGAAGGTATCTATTTCACGACACCAGAATTAAAATATTTATGAAATATGTATTCATTTTCAGAAAACCTAAATAATGTGGAGGAAAAAGTAACAAATGAATCTACGTCATCTCTTGATATTTCTTTGGATGATATTGACTGGGGCGAACCATTTGAAATGGAACAAAGAGATTCAACCGAAGATTTGCTACAAGACATTTCAAATATAGATTGGAATGAGAATGTTTTTTCTGAAATCAATACCACATTGGTATCACGAGATCATTCTGCAGAGTTTAAAGCAAATTATCCTTTTTCTGAAGAAATGCTAGATATTTTACATACAAAATTTGGACTAGAAAATTTCAGGCCTGGGCAAAGGGAAATTATTAATGCTATTTTGAATGGACACGATTGTTTTATACTAATGCCTACAGGGGGTGGAAAAAGTTTATGTTACCAACTTCCAGCTGTTTTGAGTAAAGGAGTTACAATTGTAATATCACCATTAATAGCTTTAATTGGTGATCAAGTAGACAAATTAAATGCTCTGGATATTAGAACTGCACATTTATGTTCTACGAATTCAAGGCAAGAAACCGAAGAGGTTTTATCAAAATTATACTTGAGTGAACCAGAAATTGATTTATTATATCTCACTCCTGAAAAAACAATGGTCTCAGATGAAACTAGAGATATGATAAATTCACTTTATAAAAGAGGAAAGTTATCAAGATTTGTTATTGATGAGGTACATTGTTTATCATTATGGGGTCATGATTTTAGACCACATTATAAACAGCTCAGCATGCTCAGAGAGAAATATACTGATATACAAATAATATGTTTTACTGCCACTGCAACAAAACAAGTAGAAACTGATGTAATCGTTAATTTGAATTTGTGGAATGTTAAGAAGTTTATTCAGAGTTTTAATAGACCAAATATTAAATATCAAATTATAGACAAACATGACAGGATGCCAGTTTATGAAATAGCACAGTTAATTAACAAAAAGTTTTTTAGAAAATCTGGAATAATTTACTGCCTAGCTAGGAAAGACTGTGTTAATTTAAGTTCGTATTTAAGACATCTGGGCATTACAGCGAAACCTTACCATGCAGGTTTGGAAACTGAAGTTAGAGAACAGACACAAAAGGAGTGGATGCAGGACCAATTTCATGTCATTGTAGCAACAATAGCATTTGGCATGGGTATCGATAAACCCGATGTTAGATTTGTTATACACAACACGATTCCAAAATCTCTAGAAGCATATTATCAAGAGACGGGAAGGGCTGGGAGAGATGGAGAAGTTTCATATTCTTACCTTTTCTACAGTTACGAAGATGTTATTCGCACGATGAGACTGATGAAAAAAGGTTTTAGCAATAGAGATACCTTGGATGGGCATTTTGACAATTTGGAACAGATGGTTGCGTTCGCTAACAATCAAATAGATTGCAGACGATACCTCCAGCTGCTGAACTTGGGTGAGAATTTTGATAGACAGCTGTGTATGGAAAATAGGGCAACTATGTGTGATAACTGTGAAAACTTCAACAACTCCATTGAAAATCAAATCGACATTACGAAACAAGCCAAAGAGCTCGCTATTTTAGTACGAGATATTTCAGAAAAAACTAAAATCACTTTGATCATGGCAGTAAAAATTTATAAGGGCTCAAGAGAAAAAAATATTCGCAATAAAGGACTTAACAATCACAAATATTATGGCTCGGGGAGGCTATTGAGTCGTCTCGATGTGCATAGAATCCTCAGAGATTTAATTGCAAGAAATGTTTTAGCTAACGACTACATAACTACAGGAGACTTTCCTCTTGTCTATATAAAATCTGGCAGAGAACTACAATCATTTATAGATTCGTCAGACGTAAAAATGAGCATTCCCGTTGCCAACGGGCGTTCAATCCAAACCGAGTGTATGGAAACAGAATATTCAATATCTGTTGCAGTAGACAGTACATTATTACCATCTGCAGCAGCAGTTCAGCATCTCACAAAAAGAATCCAACATCAGTGCTATGTAAATTTATTGGATTTATGTCACAGGCTAGCGCTAGAAAAAAATGTATCCGTCTCGGCAATTTTGCATCCTTCTGCTATAAAATGTATATCTGAGGTTCTACCCAAAAATCGAGAAGAACTATTAAAAATTCAACATGTTACTACGGCTATATTCGACAAATATGGATTATATATTTTAAGATCGACAAACCATTTTTGGGGAAAATTACAGTTTCTTAAAGGTGAAGCTGTAACAGACCCTCAAACTTTGAATTGGGACCCTCGGAGGAGTGATTCTAGTCCCGTTAAAAGAACGTTCACTGAAGCCTTTTCAGATAATAATAGATAATTCGATTTTGCATTATTTTCCAAATTTGTATTTTAATAATACAGTGTGATAATCATGACAAAAATGAATGAAACAAATATTATTTTTATTTAATTAATGTCCATAAACGAAATACGCTTTATGGAGAAGTTGCAGTTTCAGTTTTTTTATCTTTATAATGGTGCTGGTTAATCAAAAGACAATCCTATAGATATGGCACAAAAGATAATTTTGATTAATTGTTTTAAGAATAATCACATTCAATTTTTAAATATGTTCATATCTTTTAATTAACATTTAATGATAATGATTTTATTTACCATTAATCTTGTTTTTTGATTTAAGTGTATTGGATTAATTTCAGATTTTCATTAAATTTATTTAAGAAATAATGTAATTCGGAGACTAAATCTTAAATATACCTTATTTAAAACAACTCGTTTAATTTTTTTGGAGTATAAAATAAATTCTGCACTTAAAACCTAATATATTTATATTAATATAATACAGAAGAGCTCTCAGAAACTATGATATGAGATTGAATGTATAAGAGGTGTTTTCTGATTTTAAGGAGAATCGACACACAATTAGACATTAAATTTAAAATATAGCATATAATTTTATTAACAATATTTTTTTATGTTTTTCAACATAGTTCACGTTTTGAATGAAAAAATCAATGATCCTAGTGATTGGATCGACATGATCACGGTTTCCAAAAAGTCAACTACTTGTTGGCATACAAATGAAGTAATAAATAAAATACTTTTTTTTACTTAAAAGTATAGTAGAAATATACAAGTCTGATGAGACTCAAAATTATTAGAATTAAATTTTTTTTGTTCACTATAAAGGGTGATTCACAAACGGTGACCAAATGAAACCTCGTATTCTTTGGTAAATTTTAAGGGCTCTTTCGTATAAAGATTTTATATAGGATGCTTAGTTAAAAACATACAGGGTGTTAAACTTAAAAAAAGTTTTTAATTTTTTAAATAATTTAAAAACTAGTAAGTAAATGAAATAATTTGAAGTTGGCCACATGTATGTACGTAAACACTGTCCAAAATCTGAGGCCTTTTCTTAAAATTAAGAAGCTCCAGTGGTGGATATACGGAGTAGTGGTGGCATATTTTTCTAAATAAAATAGTACACCACTGCTTTACGGTAACAATAACGTTTACAGATTCGTCTTTCAATTTTCTACAAAAAAAAAACTTGATTTTCAAGAAAAACTTAAAAAATGAACTGAAAACATTTTTACTTAAGACAAACGCTAGTCATTGGTCACTATTTATTCGAATAAAGAAATTAATATTTGTCATCATTTTCATGATTTTACTGGAGTAAAGTACTCCATTTCCACAAACACAAGCACGACATCTTTTTAGTAACGAAAATGTAATTTGTTCAAAATTTATTGTTGCTTGAATCTGATGAAAAGCATTATTTTTATTCACTCTTCTAACTGCTCAGAATTGTCAAAGTTGCTATCGCAGCCTACTATGTAATTTTAAACCGTATTTTATTCAAATATGGAAGTGTGTTTTTAGTTCATTTTCTAAGTTTTATTCGAAAATCTGGCTTTTTTTAAAAAACATAACGGTAGTAATTTGTAGAAATTTGAAAGACAAATCCGAAATTATCGTGATTAGTACATTAAAGCAGTGGTGTACTATTTTATTTAGAAAAATATGCCACCGATACCCTGTATCTCTGCCACTGGAGCATCTAAATTTTAGGGAAAGGCCTCAGATTTTGGACAATGTTTATATAAATACACGTGCCCCATTTCAAATTATTTCACTTACTAGTTTTTAAATTATTTAAAAAAATTAAAAATATTTTTATCCTATATCTTTCTAACGAAGCGTATAACAAACTTATAGTTCTACACACTTGAAGTCCTTAATTTTTCTCATTAGCCTCATATTTTCTGAAAGTATTTCATCAAAATTCTCCTTATTATTGAAGCTATCTCCTAGGTGTAATTCACAATGTTTAATTTTCTTTATTATTTCAGCTTTCACTTTGTTCCTAAACAGTTGGTCCTTATTTTTCATGTAGTTATCGTAAACAAGAGTTAATTCGTTTTCAAAATCTTTCAACTTTTTTTCATAGTTGTTGATATCAGACCTCAAAACATTTATTTTGAAACACATATTTTGAGTGGACAAATACCAATTTTCAAAACTTTTAGCCGCTTGTTGATAGTGAGGAAAGGTTTCTTTTTCTAACAATATTTTTATATTATTGAGTCTTTGCCTGACTCTATTTCTTTCCAATATATGCCACTGGCTTTTACTACAAGACAGATGTGGGATTATTGGCTGCTTTGTAAAATATTGCCAGGATTTTCGCAATTCTTCAATTTGCGTTTTCCCTCTGGTAGAAGCACATGTTTTAACAGGACAGTTAAGGTTTTTGATTGTGGAGTCCCAGTTTGATTTTATAGTATTTTCAAAGCATTGCAAGTTATATGATTGGGCAACTAACTCCGTCACTGCTGTGAATTCCTTGCTCATATTCTCTAGTTTACTATCACTGTTATTGTTGGACTTATTTATTTGCCAGAAAAACTGTAATATTCTACCAGTTTTTTTATAAACACCTACTTTGTCAAACAAATGTTGTGCCTTTAGTTGTATGTATTTTAAGTCTTTATCGATGTACTCAATCAAGCTTTCAACGGAGTCATTAATAAGTTTACAGTAAAGAGAATATTTATCGATCTGTCGTTTGCAATAGTAACCAATAGAGCAAGCAGTTGTTGCTTGTTCTATGTCATGCTGTATAGATATATTAGTGGGAAAATCTACCCACGTTGGTATCTGAAGAGATGCCATAGTGAAACCTTCATTCTCTTTATTAAATAAAAATAGTGGATGGTCTTCACTTGTTTTTGGATATTCACATACTCCAGTAAACTCTTCGACATAATTTTGAAGGGAATTACTTTTATGTAATAAAAGTTGATTAACACCCTCAATACCAGTTTCTTTCGTTATATACTGTTCTAAATCTTTATATCTCTGCTCCGGTAGCATATATATTTTTATTAGCTTGGCCTTATTTACATAAAAAATATGTAACACGATGTGTGACAGCAAAATATCTACCTCGTTGAAAAATTTTTCAAATCCCCAAATTTTACAGAGATTTGCTTCAACAACACCTGCAATTATCGGTGTTATATTCTCCTTTAGAACGTCACTTAAGAAACACGTGTCTGGCAATGTTCGACTCCATGTAATCGGCCCATTTTCCCTAATTTGTATTCCTGATAGAACACCACTCTCTTTCTTCGTTGTAATATAGTGCATTGTTTCTTTATGTTTGTAACCGTTATAAGCAATGAAAGGTAATATTCCTGTCGCGATATGGTACAAAGTGACCCCTATCGACCACAAATCAACGGACGAATTGAACTTTTTATTAGCTCCTCTGCCTAGTATGGCTCGCTCATAAACGTCTGGATGAAGATATTGTGGTGTCCCACATAACGATTGAAATGTCTCACTTTCCGCCAGTTCCCTTGCCGCTCCAAAGTCAGTAAGTTTGTATATATTTGTGCCATCTTCCTGAATACACTTCATAATGTTTCCTGAAAAGTGTTAGGTTTAATGAAAATGTTTTTAACTGTATATCCAGGGTGTGCAGAATCAAATGCGCTACACTTCCTGAATGAAATAGATTTATTTAGATCAAGTTACTTCTGTACAACTTTGCTTCCTAAGAAGATTAGAAGCTTTAAAATTTTTTTTTTATTTTCTTTCTAATTCTTTTGAGATACTTTAACGAAATTTGGTACGGAAAGATATTTGGGATATCCGAAGACAAATATAGGCTTATTTCTTAATTAAAACATAGCTCACTAAGAATACTTGAAACAGTTTTTGTTGTCATATTTGTTGTTGTAGAGATTTTAATGTTTTATGAAATCGCACTTTATTTGCCATAAAAAAGTAGGTGTCATTAAAATGTATTATTACAAAGAAGAATGAATTTCAATTTTCTAATGTCATATTTGATAAAGCATTGTAGTCTTCACGCAACTACGTTTAGAGGCCAACGAGTATATCAGTATGTAGGTGCTGAGACTTAAATAATACATAAATCAGTCTAAATTATAAAAAAACATTTAATACAGCTACAAATTCAGCAAACAAATAAAGTTTTATTAGATTAGAATATCTCTAAGTACTTGACTCCATAACTGATAACTATAACGGAACTGTGATTGCTTTTCTGTCTGGATTTATGTATTTTAGCGACATGCAACACCTACAGCTTTTTTTACAGTAAATAAAGTGCAATTTTATAAAAAATCACATTTTCTCAAAAACTCTACTAATAAAACAAAATGTGACAGAAAAACTGTTCAGGTATTCATTCTTGATAATCTCCATGTTTTAGATAAAACATGTCCTAGTTCATCATCAGCTTCTTAAAAACCTGTTTGTCCCTATTTTAAACTATAATTCGTAACATTACCTGGTTTTAAGTCCCTATGAACTATATTATTGTCTCTCAAATATTTCATTCCACCATAGAGATGCCTTAAGACCAAAAGAAACTCGGACTCCTCTAATCCGAAGGTATTTTTAGGATCCATTAAATCTGTTAATAAACTTCCTCCATTACACAACTCTGTAATTAAAACTTTTTTTCTGTCCGCTAGGTTTTCTTCGACAGCAATCAATTTGACAATATTTTCGTGTTTTATTTTTTTCATCATTTCAAACTCTCGTAGTTGACATTCTGGCTGAGTTATATATCTTTTATAACATTTCACTGCTACCGAGTCGCCACTCAACTTGCTCACTCCCTGGTAAACTGTTGCTGTTGCACCTTCACCCAAACAATGTTGATTTGACCACATGAAGTTGGGGGATTCACAGATCTCGTACATATTTGCAGACATTAATTAGTTAAAAAAGTAAGCACAATGTTATTTCAACAGGAAAAGTTACTTTAAAGTTTTGTAATTGTCATTATTAGCAAGGTTTCAGGATGTGTATTTATAAATAATTCACATGCATTTATACTGATATATGATGTCATTAACTATTTCTGATAAGTGGATAACTGCTATAAATTGAGGTTTTTATTTCAAGATAAGGATGGATGTAATGATAATGTAGCAGTGTTACCATATCTGAAAGCTGCTGGGGGTTTTAAGTGCTGATATCAAAATTTACTTTTTCATTATTTTAATATTTACCATTGACACGGCTTTTAAATTTTTTTTATATGATACAACATAATTATGATACCATTTCTTCTTATCTTATCTCTCACCATATACAAGAAGTTTTTGCTATAAAACTCAAAAAAAATAGGAATATTCTTCAAATAGCATTTTTTTTAAAAAACTAAAAAAATTAAATTAATATACTAACATTTTAATTTTGATAAGTTCGGACTACCCTAAACAGAATGTTGGAAATTATGAGTCATTATTCAATACCTACAATAATATATTTAGATCAAACTTTTTGCCAACTTTGTCAGATGTTCCTCAAGGTACAGTCCTGAGGCCTTTGCTATTTAATTTTTTTCAAATCAACAATGATATTATGAATGATCTGCATTCTCCGTCTCTTCTTTACCTTGATGATTGTCTACCACTACAGAGTGACTTAAATAATACTCTACAAAAATGGTGTGGATGAAAAAAATTACATTTGAACATAAATAAGTGCAATGCAGTCTCATAAATAATAAAAAATTAATAAAATTGAATTTAATTACATTACTGGGCATGGTTTAAATAATACAAACACGTTTAAAGATCTGGGGTGTAGTGAATTCTATCTCGACCCTTAGTTCGATTCTATTCCCGGGATTTCGGGAATATACTTAGTCAATCCTGGGATCTCGGGTTTATTTCAGTATTGAGGCTTACAAATAAAATATAAGACAATCTTACAGAAATCAGCTCTTTAATCAACAAATCAAAATTTAGACAAAAATCAACGTGTTTTATGGTATACGCCTAGCTAATCTAATCACTCTAACTAATCAGACTTGAGTCAGACTAACCAGACTTAAAATCACTCAGTGTTTATGTTAAAGTTATTCTTTTTCAATTATGAATGGTATCTCGACTAAACTTACACAAATAAAAAAAACCCTTATGTAAATAAGCTTTGAAAGTTAAAAATCTTTCCTAACATCGACTAAACCTAGTAAGTATGCTAGTTAAGTAAGTTTCTTAGCATAAAGTATTTAAAAATAAGTAGAGCTCTCGACTGCGGCAGAAAATCTATCGGTGACTGCGAAAATTCAACAATACAAAGAGTAACCCAGTGAAAATTGCTCGTCTATCATTTTGGTTCAAAATACAAGAAGTTTTATTCCACGCAAGCATTGGAATAAAACTTCTATTTTATATTAAAGTGGTAGGCAAACAATTGAGATCACTGGCACTGAGCTTTGTGCTTTACGCAGTCTCTTTTGCAACTTTTTTAAAATTATGTCAATCCCGAAAATCTCGGGATCAACAAAACTTAACTTAATTGAAAATTTTCTGGACTGAAAAACGGTCAGGATCAAATCCTCTATCTAAGAGTAACTTTTGATGCTAACTTTACACCCTACATACTAAATAATTAAAATTAAGACTTGATAGGTATTTAACATTTTTTGGGAATAAAAATTTTCATTATTCTCAAACATATTCGGGAACATTTTGCAATTTTCTCAAAAATATTCTTTAGGGGGGCGTTTTTATGGTTTATTTTCCAGTGATTTTACAGCAGTATTTTCACAAAAGTTTTAGACAATCTAAGCATGTTAGAAGTAATATCTCTTCACTGTACCGATTATACAAGTTTTTTCTGTTGTATAAGACAGCTTACAAGCTGACAATACATTCAGAATAAGGAAAAATGAACATATTTTTGCTTAAACATTACGTTTACTGAACTTTACATGCCTGTTAAATATACAGAAAATCGCGGATGGTACTATAAACTCAATCACACCCCTCAGAATGCTTTTATGAAACTGCTAACACATGGATTAATCACAATTATTGAGTAATTTATACAAAATTCTCGACAAAATAGGAAAGGTACATTGTGATGTTTAAATGAGTGCCCATTTTCCGTTATCTTTCACTGAGAAAAGTTAAAGGAACTCTTAGCCATAACTGCGCATATTTTTCAAAATTTACAAAAGCAATATTTATTGATCATCATTCGGATAGTGCAAAATTAGAGAAAAAAGTTTTTCTTTGTTTGCAGAGAGAATGTTTGCACACAATGGGTCTTTGTGAAAAAACCCATTGTGTGCAAATATTTTCAAGCACTCTTTGAAACGTTAAGCTTAATTTGCTGCATCCAATGCAAGTAAAGCTGATTTTCGTATAATGTAGTCCACACCTTAGTATAAGATGCCCCAAATTTTGCCACTACTCGTTGGGTCTTTTCAATGGTATCTAAAACATATTTGACCTACAACGTTCTAGATGGCCTAGGTCTTTTGGCAGTCCACCGTGTTCTATTTTTTGATCCCCTTAAACGAAATAAACAAATCTATAAGCTGCGGGAACAAAAACATTTGGAATATAATTGTGATGCTAGGACTTCATTTTGTCGACAATCCCTGTATACTAAATATCATATCAATTAGTTCATCACTACGATAAGTACGTGCCATCTTAAACACTGAAATTATGTTGTGAAATAGACACTACTACTATACATATACATACAGGCTGTTACAAATTCTCGGGATCTCGGAAACGGTAAGAGGTACGAAGTAGCTTAAATGGGGGCAAAGTTGCATAATCAGAAGCCTAGAAATAGCTATGGACACGGGAATAAAACTCTAATAATTTTTTATTTTAATGCGTGGTGGTAATAGTTTAAATAACTAGATGGATTTCACAGGGTCTAACGACACTTACAGTGTACTATTCAATAAACAAAGAAATCGAAATAAAAAATTTGGATAAATTTGGAACGAATATACTGAAGATGAATTTTTCGAGACAAAACGTCTGATTCAGGTTCGGGTGAGGCAGTACAGTATTGGGGGGTCATGAAGGCTTACAAAAAATGTAATAAAATTTCTAGTTGTATTTAAAAAACTGAAGTTGATGATGGTCCTGGAGTGATGAAACGTTACATATAAAAATTAATTATGCCATTCAATAGAAGGCAAAAAGTGGCCTTGAGAAAGTGTTCTTCTTTTTTCAATATCACCTCAAACAAGGCTGAAATGAAACAAAAACGAATTTCCAAAATTTCGTTTTTTTTTCAAGTATTTTGAAAACTAATCATGTTAGCCTTGATTTTTTAGAGGCATAATGTTGGTCCCCGATTACGCAAATTTGCCCCCATTTAAATTAGTCCAAGAATGAAATATTATAAGATTTAAATTTGGGGGATTTTTTGTCAAGCATTTTAGAAAATTTAAGCAAATTAGAAACAATGTCTCTTCACTGGACCAGTTTTATAAGTTTTTTACAGGGTATAAGACAATTCAAAATAAGGTAAAGAAAGCATTTTTTAACCTTGTGTGTTTATCTCACGTTTCCAGAATTTTGCATTCCTGTTGAACATACAGAAAATCGCATACGGTACCATAATAAGACCCTGTAAAATGCTTTTAGGAAACTATTAATACATGCATTATTCACAATAATGAGTATTTTTATAAATTTGTTGGTCAAAACAGGAAAGGTACATTTTCTGATGTTTACATGTTCTCCTTGATCTTTCAATGCGAAAAATTTTGCGTTATAGATTAGCATTACGCTTCACCACTTCCTGAATGGATCTACTTGTTCCATCAGCCTTACCGAAAGTGTGACTTCTTGTCTATAAAATGCCAGCCTTAAATGGCTTTTGCACCAATGTTTTCTGTTCTATTTCGATTTCATTATTCGAATTCGTTTTCTGGAGAAATCTGGGTAGAAATAACAAAGCGTTTAATTCTTAATAATTTTATTAACTATAATCTACAGTGTATAATACAAAAAATATTGTATAATGTGTCTATAACTGTATAAACAATGCCTTTCATAGTATTAACATAATTATAATATTTAATAGTAAATGGTATGAGGCCTAGTTGATTCAATAAAAATAACCTATTTACTCCTTATGATGAAAAATTAGTTTCCTCTATTTTATTATCGACTGCACAGAGTATGGAAAACAAATATAACGTGTAAATAAACTATATACAGAGTGCTACAGGCTAGCTGTAAAAGCTATCATAAAAAAATATAAAAAAACACCCTGTACAAAATTTACTTATTACAGGAATGTTTCTAACAAAACAGTTACTGTTCGTAAAGCCAACAATCACACGATATGACCCTAAACGCTAGATACGTAATTTTAATCAGTAACAAAAAAAAAACATCTTTTGGCAGTTCTATACAAATTTGTGCGTTCCAAAGGGTACAAAATCTCAATGGTTAGCGTTAAGCAATTAAAATACGTCAATTTTTATTAATATTGCATTTTACAACAATCTTTTAGACAAGCTGCTTGTCAATTCCGTCCGATATCCAGCTGCATGTTTAGGAGGACCACAGGTTAAGAATTTTACTAATAATAAATTAAATAAATATATTAGTCTACAAAATTTGTCAATGTCCCATTAAGAAAGAGTAGAAAATTTAGTTGTTTAAACATGCAGCGCTGCAATTCTTATTATCTGGAAAGTACTTGATATGAAATACTAGTGTAATCGAGATGTTGGTTAACGGTTTCTACTAGTCTTCTACGTCTAAAATTCAATACTAAAAATGTACACAATGCTTCAAATTAAAGATTTTAACAAACGGGTGTAACACAGTGTCACATGTTGAAAATGAAAGAATATTTCTCAAGAATACGCAAGAATCTTTCCTCAAGGGGTAAAGCCACTCTTCTTGGTTTAAATAATGCTTTATTGTGTGAAGAACAAAAGCTTGCAACATGCTGCAGCTTATTGTAACTTGTGAGAACACTCGCAATAGTTTGCTATTATAGAGGTCAGATTGAGTTTCAGGTCAAACCGAAAAAGAGGATGAAGAAAATATCAATTTAGAAGGCCAATTATATGGTACAGGCATCGCTAATTGAAGGAATACATATAACGAATTTATGCTGAATGGCAACAAAAACTTTAGTCTTTTTCGAGAAACCACTTTTTTTAACTGGCTGGAAACATAACTCAAAAAATTTTCAATGAATCATCTTGAAATTGTGTACAGAGTTTGACAATAACATAACTCAGGGAACGTGGTAGGGGTTTTTCGATTGATTAACAATTTTCATTATTATTAACAATTTATTGCAAAATTTTTCATCTACTTTCGATACTTTTTGTTCACAAATCCACAATTTATTGTTTTTTAATTTCCCTATGATGTTCCCTAGTTTTAAGACAATATCAGAAAATGTTTGTGTTTTTGTTCCAAAACCATCCGTTAATAAGAAACCTTTCCGGCCATACAGCCCTCTGAAAAAAAAAGGTGAAAACTGAAAACATGTACAATAAAGCATTTTTGTTCCCGATAGTATCGATTTTTCTTTGAAAATTCCAGAAAATCAATTTTTTCTCCAACATCTAGAGTGGTGTTAACTCTTAAATATTATTTACTCTGTTTTAAAATTTTGGATGGTAAAATATGGGCCATTAGTGTGAGAAACTAAAATAACTCCCTTGTTATTCATACACAGAAAAAAATAAAATTTGTACAGAATCAAAAAACCTAAAGGAGAAAATTAAATTGAAATACACAGGGCGATCAATAAAAATGAGACACGCCAAATATTACATTTTTTAAATGGAACACCCTGTATATTTTTAAAGATATGGATTTCTGAGAAAATTCTATATATGGCAATATAGACGTTTTAGTGCGGGGTTGCCAAGTTATGCAGAAAATTCTTCGAATTTTGGGAAAAAGATGACTTCGAAGAAGTTGTATTAACTTTCAATTACTAACACTTGGAGCAAAGATATTTGACAGAGTTATAGGCAATTGTTAGGCAAAGACTCCAGTTCATAATTTATCATTCCATTTCGAGTTAATTTTATTAATTATTTATTAGTTGGTATTCTATAAAATAATAAAAATTAAGTTTTTTCAAAAACGTTGCTATATCTTAAAAACTAACAATTTTAGATATAGAACATGTTTAATAAAAGTTGAAGTGGACCGATATGTGAATAAAATAGAACAATAAAATACAGGGTGTTCCATTTGAAAAATTTTAGAAAATCAAGTTTAAACTTTCTAAAAATGGTCGTATTATAAAAAATGCCCTATATAAAATATCGATATTAGCTAATATAGGAGCTTTTGTCTCACATTTGCCTATAACTTTGTCTAATTATTTTGTTCCAAGTGTTAGTGGCTGAAAGTTAATAATACAATTTCTTTGAGGTCATGTTTTTTCCAAAATTCGAAGAATTTTCTACATAACTTGGCAACCCCGCACTAAAATGAAAAACTGTTTATATTGGCATATATAAAATTTTCTCGGAAATCCATGTTTAAAAATATAAAGGGTGTTCCATTTAAAAAATGTAATATTTGGCGTGTCCTGTTTTTACCCATCACCCTGTATGTATAAAATTAATTTTATAGTTTAGATTTCCTGAATCTGTATAACTGTTATTTAAACTTTTTTTCTGTATTATGAGCAACTTCGGAATTATTTTACTTTCTCACATAATGGCCCACCCTGTATATCTTCCTCAAAAATTATGGCAATCGCCAGTCCACTAAAAAAACATATATTTTTGCTTTATTTTTGAAATATTAAAGTGTACTGCGAAAAAGGGATAATTACATTTTGTAAAATTGTTAATTGTAAATGTATTAAAACGTAAGTATCAATGTCTCAATGGCATCAATTTGCTAAAAAAATTGTAATTCAGATTTGCAGTAAACGTTTACGTGACCAAAAAACAAATAAAAGAAGTCGCGTCCATTAGTTGCAATTGAAATTTGACAAAATTATATATTTTCTTCCTTATATGGGCCATAATTTTTATTGAAAACGTAATTTACATATCTCATGCCTAATCCACTGATTCGAGTTGCAATCGCATTCTTTCATACTGAATGTCATTTTATTTGTGTATCGCACAAAGAAAATTGAATTCCAATAACTTCATTTGTTCAGAAAACATTTTTTTTCAAAGAACAAATGTTTATATAAAATATTCTTAAATTTGGTCAACAAACACTTAACATATTATATTACACCCTGTATATTAACAAAAAAAATTATATTAAACATCACAATTAAAAATGTATATAAAAATCCAATTATACAATTACGATTTAACAAAACGGGTACTTACCACGAATATATACAAGAACAAGACACAACTTGCAAAAAAACTAGTAAAAACCGTCCTGATGTAAATGTCGTGTAAACTAAAAATATGTAGAAAAAAGTACGGCATATCTATCTATTGTTCCTTGATAAATAGATATCCACCTCCCCATCAATGGTAGTGCACCTCGATCGAGTTGCGCAACCAATCAGCAGGGGGGTGGGCGTGACCTCAGTACGCCGACGCTTCCTTGTACTCGGATCCTTCCATGGTGAAGAAATCCTCCAGTTTCCATTGCAAGGTTTCAAAAGTGGGTCTCCTCATTGGGTCCCGGTTCCAGCACTCCAACATTATATCGTACAAGGCGGGTGGACAGCCCGGTGGGGCCGGCATTCTGTAACCGTGTTCTACTTGGTGCAGAACCTCGGCATTTGTCATACCTGAAATGAAAAGCTCAATTTAGACGATAACATATTAAAGTTAGTTAGCTTTTTTTAATAATTTTAATGCCGTAAGCACGTTTGCATCCCAAGAAAGTTTTAAAAACACATCATTCGAGCTGTGTCTGTCAAATTAATAATGTTATCAAACATTTCCTGATTTATGCTGCGATGGAGTAGAAATAAAATGTATTTGTGAAAGGATTCTGTTGAACTGAGGTATTTACCACAGTAGTATTAGTCGAATTCATGAAACAAATCAACTCTTACAGCTGTCTTACTGGGTAATTTTATTATATGATGCCAATAATGAAAACTTAATTGTTTTGGCTGAAATACAGGGTGTTTCTTAATAACGTGCTAATATTTAAGGAAGTTATTCTTGGGTCCATTTTAAGAAAAAAACTTCATATGAACATATTTCCTAAAAGTCTTAACTTTTGAACTACAGGGTGCTAGTTTTATGAAAAAAACATTTTTTTATGTTAACTTACCCTATTACCCTAGATATTTTTTCTTTGGTACATGCCTTCTATTCATCGAGATGCATTTTCTGATGTACAAACAATTTTATTATTTTTGCCAGTGGTGTCTGTACAGTTTTTGTATTGAATATGTATTTTTGAAGAAAAATATGTTACAATAATATTTTTGAGTGTCTAGGTATTTAAATTTTGCATGTTTTATTGGCAATTCGCATGCGACAAGTAAGATTACCACACGCAAATAAATAGAGTGCAGAAATAGCTAGGTACCGACCTAAAAATCATGCGAAAAGATAGGACTTATCCGTCATAAGTAATAAAAGGTGTTATTAACTAATTATAGTGTAAGGAACAACTACTCTGCGGACTACAGCCCTGTCCAGCATTGAATTTCACTCTTGATATCTAGTAAACAGCTAAGATCATCTTTGCAACACTAGTCATGTTTGACAATCTCTGGGTTAGTAGGTCGCTCTTTACAGGGATATATAAGCAATGTTTCATGCGATANCTTGATATCTAGTAAACAGCTAAGATCATCTTTGCAACACTAGTCATGTTTGCACAATCTCTGGGTTAGTAGGTCGCTCTTTACAGGGATATACAAGCAATGTTTCATGCAATAGGCATTAGGTATCAATCACATTCTTTGTACGTTTCCCAATATCCTAAAGTATTGACAAGTGGATTTTCCGTTTGCATTACATATTGATTAAGCACAGTGTTGCCAACCATAAAATAAGAAAAATTGTTACAGCCCTAGATATATTCCGCTACATGCCGCTATAATTTAATATACATATAATCAAATTAAAGTAAACTCTGGAATAAATTGTTAAACTTGGATAAAGTTTATCAGATTTAAAGAATTTTATATAATGTTTATGATTTTTCTACAAATAAATGTGTTAAACAATTCAGCTAAAGAATTTAATAAAAAGTAAATAATTTTATATGTATAGATTTATTTGTCTCATCGAGTTAAAAATGCACAATACTTAAAAATTATTGATTTGCTTATTTTTTAAATTTTGTTAGAAATTACTAAAAAGTGTATTATGAAGAAGTAGAGTGTCGCTACATTTTGATTAAATTTGTTCTGTCGCAGTTAGTTGCTCTGGAAAGAAAACTCTGCAACGCTGACTGAAGGTCTATGGACCTTAGTAAATTGTTCATTTTTATTTTGTTTGGGTATTACACCATATTGTGTATTTGATAAGAGTGATTATCGTTTTGTAGCAATCAAAAACAGTGCACGTTGCACTCATTTTTTTTTTAACATTGCAAATTATTTAAATACATGGGACCGCCTAACCGGGTGTCTTGGCCGGCGGATTTCGATCTGCCGAGGCAAGCATCACGGACGCAGGCTGGAATTTGGATGGGTGACCTAAGGCAGGCTCGGGGACGTGGCTGTGGCAGCCTACCAGAGACCTGGGTCACCCAACATTTGCGGCATGCGTGTGGTCCCCGATAAATGGTAATGAGAACAGAGCAAAGAAAATCTCTGTAACTCAAGACCATGCTATCATACATAAACTGTACGAGACTTTGCCACCAAGCCATCCGTGTAGTAAATAGGATGGTTTGAAGAATCGAGTAATTAAGGAGGGTGTACAAGTGGGCTAATAAGGCCTAAGTGCCGCGGTGGAAAAACAATTCCACCACCCTCCGACATACATACATACATACATACATACACACATATTTACATCCTACCATCTAAAATTTCTAAAATTAAAATATAATCTAGTTTTTTCCAGTACTACAAGATAAATAAATAGAACAGATATATGGGATGTGTCGATTAATTACCTGGGTATGGTATCCTTCCGTAAGTTACAAGTTCAGTAAGTAATATACCGAATGACCAAACATCTGATTTGATGGAGAATTTACTGTAGTTCGCTGCTTCAGGAGCCGTCCATTTTATTGGGAATCTGGCGCCAACTCTCGCTTCGTATTCGTCCTCCTTAAATAGATGAAAAAATTAAGCTTTATAAAAAGTATGAAAAAAAACATTTTCGATCTTATTATTGTTATTTTGACAAATTTTAAGGCTTACAAAATTGTATAGAACATTTCATTTTATGTTCCAATTCTCCTTTGTTTACTCTATACAGGGTGTACCTCTAAATGGGGATCATATTTGACCCCAATTTAAAGTTACGCCCTGTAAAGGTAAATTTGAATTATTTTTAAAGATTGTCCAAAACAAAATTGTTTCTCAGGAATGATCAAGGTTGTCAAATAGCACTGGGACCTTCTGTAATTTTTTTTAAATAATGCATAATATGGAATTATTTAATTTTCTAAGTTCCATTTTAATACTAGCGATTTATACCTTACATCCAAAATTATGATAAATATATTTATTTCTAACTCACCTTAATTAATCTTGCTAGTCCGAAGTCCGCTATTTTGACAACGTTTCCGTCAGCGACGAGAACATTTCTTGCAGCAAGATCCCTGTGGATGTAATTCTGCGACTCCAAGAAAGCCATTCCGGCAGCGATCTGTGCTGCCATATCGATTAATTGCTGCAACTTCAACCCCTTACCCTTGCCCTGAAGGTATTCTAAAAGTGAGCCGTTTCTCATTAATTCGGTGATGATATAAATCGGTTCCTCCACAGTGCAGACAGCATACAACTGGATCAGTTTCGGATGCCGTAGTTTTTTCATAATTTGAGCCTCGGCAAGGAAATCCTTGGGATCCATGGTCCCTGGTTTAAGGGTCTTTATTGCTACTGGTGTCGTATTGTTCCACATACCCTCCCACACTTCCCCGAACTGTCCATGGCCCAACTTCCTCACAAACTTGAGCGATGACCTTTCTATTTCCCACTGATCGCGGGTTCGGTGGGATAATCCTTCAGGTTGCGGCTTCTCAACCTGGGGAAGAAATGCATTTTTATTCGCGATTTATTCGGAAATTAAAACATTTTGAGCATGCAATGCGACAATAAAACAGCTATTGACTATTATTAGTTAAAGGAACATAACATTTGCATATCTAAAAGTTTCTAAATAAACAAAAGAACATACATTTTTGCTAATGTGCGCTAAAATTATAGTATGTACTATATACAGATATTGTTAACAAATGTAAGAACATAATGACACATAGGAATAATTTTTAACTAATTAAAAATTGATATTTTCACATTAATGCAGTTCTATATTGACAATGTTCTTCAAATAACATATATCAACAAAAATTATATAAATAGGGTTGGCCAATTTTAACTTTTTCTCGTATTTACCTAGGAGATGTGCAAATAGTAGTTAAGAGATCCCAGGCTTGATTTTTAAGAAAAATTGTATGGCAAAACCACAACTCGATTTTCATTCATTGAAAAAATACAATACAATTTTTTTCTACAATCGTTATATGCATAATGACATTAGATGTAGTATAACTTTTTTCATGCTATGTCACATTGTACTGTTAGCAAAAAACTTGGTAGTCAAGAATATACAATGTGTCCCTGAATATGTAAATCAACTCTTTTGATTAAACCCATTACAAAGCCAATTAAGTTAAAAAGTTTAACTCTCCTAAGTGCGATACTCTTAGAGCATATACTCGTACTATATGGAGAAAGTACAATTACGGCGATAATGTAGACGAGTGACAGACAGAGAAAAAGAGAGTTTGGGGACTATCTTTCTCTCTTGCGCAGGCATGTGATTGGCTAACACATCTCCTTCCTCAACGATTAGACAGAGAGACAAACAGACACACACAGAGAGAGGGGAGGTGAGAGAGACAGAAAGAGAGATATGAGAGGGGGGTGAGAGACAGAGGGAGGGGGTGAGAGAGACAGAGGGAGAGAGAGTACCCAAACTATTGCCCTTTTTAATGCGATACTAGTCACGCTACACCTACAGATTCGTAGGTTATTTAATGCTAGCAGATATAATGGAATCTTTATAGGTTATATCCCACCCTGTACCATCTGCCTATCTCCTCGAGAAACACGGGAACACCCAAAAATTTCAAAATTACCCCACGCTGTACATGAGACAGAGGTAATAACGTAAATGTCAGTAAAAATGAACATAGCACTTACTTACTTAAATAAAAACATACATTATAACAATTGCTGGTTTAAAGAAAAACCAAAATTTAGGGTTAGTATTCTGAGTTCTTGCCAGTAGAAGTCTTTAGTTAATAATGGCTTGCAGGGGATTTGGAAATCAGAATATTAGCCTTAAATGCTTAGAGTAAATTTCTAGGTGACCAAAATGCAGAGAAAATTATGTGGGAAAATGTGTGTAACAGTGTCTGTTCTTTTGTTTTTCAAAAAATACTCAAGGCATAAAGAACATAACATAACAGAATTGGAAACATACCTCCGGAGTCTTATTCTGCACAATAAAGAAAATAATAAGTTAGTAAAATGCAAAATGCAAAAATGCGTGAATCAACCGAAATTAGCCAATAGCTGCTCTAAGCAATGTTGAAAGATTTTGGATTTTGAAAAGAGAATTATAAATAAGTGGATAGATAACAAGCTTACCTGAACACATGGTTTACAGAGATTAACACAAAGCCCATCCGCATCGTCACTATAGTGTTGTACGAGTTCTTGCAACGTTCTAAATGTGGTCCTTCGGGCTATAAAGAAGCCTCCCTCATCTAATTGTCGTATTCTGTAATGTTTGACTGTGTCTCCATCACGAACTGTAAGGTATTAAAAGATTCAGAAATGAAAAAAAATTGTAAATCAAGTTTAACTGAAAGAGGTGAGATTGATAAAAATAGGTAGAATATGGATAGACAGGATTTTCAAAATAATTTGTCGACATATTCAAAGCAGAATAAATATAACAAATTTTATAAAATAATATTTTCTAAAAGATTTCTCAAAGAGAATTTCAATGAACCCACATATTGAAGCTTTTTCTTCAGAATTGTTTTAACTATTTGTTTTAAAACAATAATAACACCTAATGGTATCAATCATATACTTTAGTTTTAAAAACAAACAATTAAAAGCCGTTGAAAGGAGTATTTCGTAAATAACATTAAAAAAAACGTCGATGACGTCGTTACCCTGTATACATAAAATAACTCCAAAGCTTTTTTAAAATAAAAATCATATCAGAGTGGTACACTTTTCAAAATATGGAAATGCATATTTTTTAACTACATAAAATGCAGATGCATCAAAATTTAAACAATATGTGGAATATGGATTTATGTGTGTTGTTTGTCTTCTTTTCTTTTTGTTCAACTTTTTCAACTGCACTGTTATTAAATTTGCTCATAACTATTAAACATATTGACCTTCTTTCCAAAACAAAACTGGAGAAATTTTTTGGAAATACTGACAAACACCTAGGAAGAATTTCAGCCAAGCAATAACCGCTAAAAAATGTTACTTAAATGAACACTTACCTGATAAGGAATAATCGTTATGTCTGCTCTCGGAATCTCGGATGAGGAAAGCTCCGTGCTCATTTTCCGGGAGAAGTAGTTTCTTTTCTGCCTCTATACGTTTGATTTTACGGAAATACCATCTGGAACAAACAGATTCACATTAGTGTTTTAAAAAATTGACAGATCATTAAATAGTTCAAAACTGTGGTGAAAAGAAAATGTGGATTATTTTCGTGATGCTTATGTTGAGATCTCTAAAGTTTTAAGAACTACAAAAACTATTAAATGGAAAAAGTTTTAGATTATTTTGTTATTAGCTTCATGATTTTTGAAAAGAATTTTACTGTGGACTTAAATTTTTATTTCAATGTTACAGTCAAGACACCATCATCATTTCGTTTGCAATTTGCTGTTTCATGCTGGCATGTTACTGAATTTTTTAAACAAGATATCATTGAAAAGCATAAAAATGTAGTAATTTCATTCAGCATACAATTTAGTATGGCACACATAATATAAAAGAAAGTTGTAACTGAAATAATGATGGTTTTTTAAAACCACAATGTTTTAACAAAAATCTTGAGTCCAAATTTGAAACTTCGCAAAAATTTTTGCAAATTTCAAGAATTCCTAAAAGTCTCCAAAATCCCAATGCATGCATCAGCAAAATAGCTCACCCAGTATATGGATTTCCTTTCACAGTATGTAAGAAGTCAAAGAAGCAAACATTTCTAATTGAGATAACCTACATGGTTCTTTATTTCTTTTTCGCGAAAATATATTAATTCTATTACATCCTGAAAAGTATTAAAATATAATTTAAAAGATTATAAACAGTATAGAGTTTTGTTGCACAAATTTCAGAACACAAAATAGCCTTGTCTAATCGCATCCGTACATAATTTAGTTGTTTATATCATCACTGTAAATACGTATGATTGGGTGAGTAATTCTTTTTCGATTTCAGCGAAACGTTTCTGAAGGATGAAATCCCGTTCTGCAAACTGTAAAGGTCAGTGTTCTATTATAAATATATTTAACAGAACTATTTATAACATCTAGGCAAGCTATTCAGAATTGCACACTTTTTCCATAATTTTTATTTTATATTTTTATAAAAATATTTAATAACAACAACAACAATTTTGCCTTAATTGTGAGACCGAGTTCTTTGTCCCCTCGCGTCTCAAGGTGATATTGTTTATACCTAAAGTTGCAGTCTAATGTTGTGCCAATACCTACATTAAACAAAAATCACATATTTTTAATAATAAACAGCAATAAACAACCAAGAGAACGACCTGACCTGTGAACAAAACACGCGTATATCCTGAACACAATATACCGACTTATTTTGAGCAAAGGAATCTCTGGTCTTCAACGTATTTTCAAGACACCCTGTATATATATAATGTATGTGCTACTAACCACCCGTCTTCCAAATTAAAATAAATTTCCAATAGTGTATGGGGCATTTTACAATCGTTTTTTTTTATAGTAAAGTATTCTAAATTTTCTATATTATCTGCTTAGATTACCAACAGCAAAATCAAAACAATGTGAACAAATCATATCGAAGTCCATTTATGCATGCTATTATTAAACATATTCAACAATTAAAAATCATTACTTGGTTATTAAAATATGTTTTAATACTTCATTAAAATAATTACACTGAAGAAACGGTGTATTGTAATTATAATGTTTAATGTTTTGCAGTCCTTGAGAAAAAGTAGTATTTCAGCTAAGGTTATGCTACTGACAATGAGTAAGGGCCAATCAAGCTCCCAACTATTTTATTTGTATTTAATTCGACATGAAAAAATGTTAAAAAAATCCCTTAAAACAATCGTCGCGAGATCATAATGTCTTGTCTTATCATTTCAGTTTATGCGGATAGGCACAACATAAACAGTTACAGTTACCTCCGGCGAAATTGAAATGCTCTCCTTTTAAATTCATGCTGACTTGCTAATTACATATTTAAATCACATTCCAGCTGTTTAATTGGTCATTAAAATTACGTTTCTGTAATTTTACGTTTAGCAATTGGTCGTGAGCGAGTAGCGGTCTTACAGTTCGCTAATACTAAAAGGTAACTAATGTAGTCATTAATTTTATGTAGATATTAAAATCATAATTTTGTTAACTTAATTTGTCGCTACTTTAGAATAACCGTTCAGAAATTAAGACTGTAGTTGCACTTCGACATAGTCTTCAGTTTATTCTCGACTACTATTGACTGAAAATCTCATTAAATATTCTATAAATCATGATCAGCGGTGATTGAGCCAAAAGGAATAAAATGGGAGAGAACATTCAGATTGTGTAAATTATGATTGATGAAAAATCGTTCAAAAACATATGTAAGGTTTAAAAGAAGTTTTGTTTTTGATATAAAACCAGTATCCTTTGGAATATCCCGAAAAGCAATGTCGGCCGAAGACTAAAATAAATATTTTACCAATTTCTAAACAATTCGATAAAAATAAATAAAGTTTCGTAAACTTCGATGTCGCCATTCACGATCAATCGTTCAACCTTGCCAGTTCAATCGGGATCAATATCATATTTGCCAACGTTCGATTGAAATGCGATCAGCTGCTGACCAAGGTTCTTTTGCAATATGAAATGCATCATCAGTGTCTGTCTAGTCCTGGTAGAGGCATTAGGAATTCTTAAAATGTAACAGCAAATATTTGCGGTGTACGTATGGTTTGGAATAAATTCGGTATATTTTATGTCAGAAGTAGTTAGAATTATAAATGACATTAATTGTACAGGGTGAGTCGGCAGGATCGCACCGAACTCCAGGAATTGATTCTATACGCTAAAATAATAAGAAACAACTCAAATGATGTTATGCAACGCTTGGAGAACTGACTCACAAGACTATTTCAAAAAAAAATCTAAAAAATGAATTACGATGAAGCTCCTGCACATTTAGCTCCTCTGCATGAGAGGTTTTCAGGGCGTTGGATTGGCATCTCCACACCTCATAGCATGGGTTGACAGGAACAGTTATTTAGAAATGAATTTACAAAAATACAGTTTTTCAAAAATCCCAATATTTTAACTATGCTTTGCAAAAATAAAATTGTATATAATCTGTAGACAGTGTTGCCAACCCTGTCCTAGAGAAAAACTACATACAAAATTAAAAGAACTATAGAAAACTGGAGATAAAAAAATCTCTAAAATTTAAATAAAAAAAATAAAAAAATATAAACACAAAACAAATAACAAAGTAAAATTAGGTTACTCATTCGATATGTCAAATAAAAAACATCGATACAACGAATATATCCAAGTTCAATCGAATTCAAAATAGGTTGAATTCGATGTATCGATATTAGTGATGTAACGAATATCCGCATTCGCATTCGCATTCGCAAATATTCGTTTGATTTATGATATTCGCATTCGCATTCGCAAATATCTTTGAATATTTTGCGAATATGAACGTGAAAGAAAAATACAGAATATGAAAACAATATTAGGTAAATTAAACAAAAAAGTATTCATTTCTTTTCTTTTTAATTACAAAAATTACTTAAAACAATTATATCTTTCTATAATCGCGCGACATATTCTGAATCATAGACAAACGGCGCTAGATTTAAAAACTGAATATTCGTATTCGCATTCACATTCCAGATGTTCGCATTCGCATTCGCGAATGCTTAAAAGCTGGCATTCGTTACATCACTAATCGATATATACGTCGAGTGTTTTTTTAATACATTGATATACAGGGTGTTTGGTAAGTCGATGCATTCCTTGCAGGAGGTTATAGTACAAGTGATTTGTGATATATTTCCTTAATACACCATATTCCGAAAAGGCTTAGTTTCTGATCTACAGGGTGATAAAGTTTAAATAAAAAAATGCAAATTTATAAATTTTGCGGAAACCGCTCAGAATATTTTAACGAAATTTTACAAGCTTTGACAATTAACAACAATACATGTTTTACGATAAAAATATTGTTTTTAGTTTCATCAGTGGCGTGCGCACAGACACGTCTGTGGATATATTTAAAGAAAAAAATGATACGCCACTGATTTTTGTTAAAATAAAAATTAGTTTTCAATTCATTGTTCAATTTGGAAGAGAAAAGGTATCTCGACTGTTTTTCTCATGACGCACTATTTTCGAGTAAAAAAAATTAAAATCGATTTATTGCATGGCGAATCCGGTTTCAATAATTTGAAAAATAGCGGAAATTATGCACTCAACTTTTTTTGTACCAATTTTATTACAAAAAATTATTATTCCTCGCAGTTAACATCAGCCAAAAAATTTTTTATCAGTTTTTACATTCACTATTCACTGTCTAAAAAGAAATTAGCAAGTTGGCTGTGCACTCGTTTTTGTTATTGTTTGACAAAATTAATAATAGCTGTCACTTTGAATGTTTGAGTGTGAAGCATAATTTCTGCTATTTTAGACAGAATAGATTTTATTTTTTTTACTCGAAAACGGTGCGTCATAAGAAAAACAATCGAGATACCTTTTCTCTTCCAAATTGAGAAAGGAATTCAAAAATAATTTTTATTTTAAGAAAAATCAGTGCTGTATCATTTTTTATCTTTAACACTAGAGACGTGCCTGTGGTGAAACTGAAAACAATATTTTTATCGTAAAACATAAAGTTGTTAACTGTCAAAGCCTGTAAAATTTCATTAAAATATTCTGAGCGGTTTCCGCAATATTTATAAATTAGCATTTTTTATTAAAAACTTTAACAGCCTGTAGATCGGAAACTAAGCGTTTTCGGAATATTGTAAATTAAGGAAATATATCACAAATCGTTTGGACTATAACCTCCTGAAAGGAATGCATCGACTTACCAAACACCCTGTATATATAGTCCATTCTTAGAGTGTGTTGCGATTCTCCCAATTCACCCTGTATAGTTGTTGTTGATATCAAATACAGTAAGCTAATATTATTTAGAATTCATAAAAAAAAAAAAATGGCCTAAATAAATTTTGCCTAAAATCGATTGTGTACCTACTACGAGGAAATTTGCTCGTCTGTTGCAATAGTTATTTATAAGAAGTAAAACAATCTTAACACTTTCGAATTCATGTCTGTGTATAATACTAGTTGGTATATAAGACACTGAACTAAACTA